GTCCCCAGCACCCCCAATGTCCGCAGGACCCCCCGCGTCCCCGCACCGAGCACCACGAGCTCGGCGGTGGCCTCGCTGCTGCCCAGCAGGTCCTCGACCGAGGCGACGCTGCAGACGTAGGAGCCGCCGTCGCCCCAGGCCGCGGGGCCCAGCTGCAGGTCGGCCTCTGCGGGGCACCATCAGCTGCGCGGCTACTAGGCGAGCTACGGTACCCCACAAATCTCCCAACCTCCCCCATTCATCCCCCCCCCCCCAAAAAAAAAGGCTACTAGGAGATTTACGGCAGCCCACCTCCCCGGCTTCCTGTTAGGAAGCTGATACCCTTCTATTAAGGTGATTACGGCAGCCAGTTTGCCCATAGGCAATGACTGCRCTTCTATTAGGGAGATTTTGGTAATCCCCGCCCAATCTCTTGCCTTTAAAAGGCAGCGGGGCCCTTATTAGGGGCATTATGGTAGCCAGCTCCTCCCCCATAAACAGCAGCTGCGCCTCTATTAGGAAAATTAAAGCAGACCCCCCCCCCACAATCGCCTTGCTACCGCAAAGCAGTTGCACCTGTATTAAGTGGATTACGGTAAATGCCACCAAGCCTAGGCTGCACCCCCCCACACCTTCCTATACAAAATAGGGGCGCTTCTATTGCAGACATTGTGGTAGTCCCCCCCCAGTCTCTCCCCTTGTTAGACACAACTGGGCCTCTATTAGGGGTATTACGGTAGCCCCGCCCGGCCCACCCCTCCCTTTGGGAGGCGGCTGCACCTCTAATAGGGGGATTACAGTAGCTGCAGGTGCTACCGTATTTCTCCCACCCAGGGGCACACTCCCCATCAATATTGCAAGGGCCGTAATGTCCCTAGTATGAGCCCAGCACAAAAGCTCCTACCGTAGAGCAACAAAGAGCTGCGCAAGCTCAAAGCCGACAGCAGCCCCTATTGTAATGCCACTAATAGAGGTGCAAGCAGACCACTACCATAGCGTTGCTAATAGCGGCACAAGTGCCATCCTACCGTAACATCTCTAATAAAGGAGAAAATGGGTTTTTTTACTATAACACTAATAGTGGGGCAAACACCCCCACCATAATGCCGCTAATAGGAGCCCCTACCGAAAGGCCCCTGAGTTAATCTACCGTAATGCCCTTAGGAGCACCACCTACCATAATGCTCCTAGTAGAGGTGTCTACTGCAATGACCACAATAAAGAACCCTACCATAGTTTAGCTAATAGGATTCCCTACCGTAATGCCCCGACAGGGGGTCCCAACCGTAATGCTGCTAATAGGCCCCTACCATAATGCCCCTAATAGAATACCCCAAGAAAAAGCTGCTAATAGGGGCCTGTACCATAATGCCCCTTATAAAACCCCACAACAAAAATCCACCAAAGGGGCCTCTACCATAATGTCCTTAATAGAAGCCCCCATACAAAGCCACCAATGGGGGCTCCTACTGTAATTACTCTAATTGAAGCCCCCAACAGAAACCTGCTAATAGTGGTCCCCCTACCATAATGACTCTAATACATGCTCCTAACCAAATCCACTCATGGGAGCCCTACCATAATGTCCTTAATAGAAATCCCAACAAAAACCCGCTAATAGTGGCCTGCCTACTGTAATGACTCTAGTAGAAGCTCYCAACAAAACCCACCCATGGAGGACYCTACCGCAATGCCCCTAATAGGAGCACCCCGGGGAAGCGCCAGGGTGGCTACCGTTGACGATGGTGATGGGGCGGCCCTGGTAGAAGGGGCCCACGGTGACGGCGCTGCCCTGCTTGGCGGCCACGATGCGGACGGTGCGGTCAGTGTCGGGGCAGGTGGTGCCGGTGCCGGTGCTGGTGCCGGTGCCGGTGCCCGGGCAGGGCGACTTGTAGGTCCAGGTGACGATGGGGGACGTGGTGGCGGTCGTCTCGTAGCGGCAGCGCAGGGTGACGGGCTGCAGCGGCAGCACCACCGTGTAGGGATCGGGCACCGTCACCTCCATGGCTGCGGGCGGCACCGGCGGCGGGTCGGAACCGGGACCGGGGATCACGGGGAAACCCCCACACACACCCGGGTCGGAACCGGGACCCCGCCGGGACCCCCCGCCCCGCCCCAAGGGGATTCTCCACTGGCTACTATGGGGGTTGGGGGGGATCAATGGGGCCCTCCCCCCCGGCAGGTAAAGTCCTGATTTTTCCCTCTTTTCCGCCCCCAAACCACAGAAACTCCCCCATAAAG